TTTAAAACTCCACGATGTTCTCGAGGTATAGATAGTAAAAGTCCTCCCTGCGGTCATAATTATTCAAGGAGCCCATGGGTGACTTCTGCTTTATCTCACACCAGGGTGTCCTATGAGAATCGCAAGATGACTTTTCAACGACGTTCAATTTTACGATCTACAAGTAACGCCCCTTGCCATTGCAAAGGTGCAGTTTTCTCCAATGTCAGATTAATACGGCTAATTCCGAACTGTTCTACAATATTGCAACCAGTGGATCGAGGAGTGATTTGGTCTTCCAAATGTTCGTTTCAGAAACATTTAGTGGCATATGTTGTGTCTGTTGATCAGCGTCTTTGTGAAGAAGAATTTGAAGATGAACAAGTGCGTTATTTGAAATTTTTGCACCAATTCTCTTTTTCAGTCATTGGATGAACTCGTTTCGAATCAAGCTAAGCATCGCAAAGTAAAAGAATGTGAAGCAGTGAGTTCATCCGAAGTTATCCAATGAGGGAAGCACATAAGTTACTGTATCAATTGAAGCTGTTTGCCTTGGCTAATGCTCGGATTTCGGGTCGAGTACAGGTGTACAATCGATTTAAACAGCGCGCTTGTTGATTTACAAAGGAATGTCAGGCCGAGAAAAACGACGATTAATGATTACCAAAATTAAGTCTTTTTAACCTGCCAAGATGTGTTTCCACAGTTCTGTGGGGCATTCGAATGTGGTCAATTTTGTGGCAGTGGTCACCAAAGCAACGGCCATTCGGTCTATCGATGGGCTCTGTCGCACTAACGTGCAAATCGTGATGGTCTGATAAGTGGTCTTTTGGAGCAAGATGTCAGATCCAAAAGATCGATAAACACCGTGTAAATCATAATCGCACCTGTGAAATTAGACAGGTCATTGGCCAAAGGTCATCGTAACCCGGATCTGGCTTGCTCCTGACTATTGGAGCGATGCACTTTCAACTTATGAATCACTTGTTGAGCTTAAGCCGTTACTCATGTTTGTCGACATTGTCCATAACGGACGTAGAGAGCTAGTATTACACATTTCCTACCAGGAAACCATGAGTAGATTGGACAGCAAACAATCATTTTGGAATATAAGAAAGAAATGTACCGATTCTATCCTGTAGCTGATATTTCACTTATTTTAGACAACGTGATCTCCTTCGAATGCGATGTTTTGGTCCCGTCTTCTGACTTTGTTCGATCTGATTCATTCTTGTTTTCGTAGAGTGGGCTGATATTTAGGTTGTGATTATTATAGCTCAAACAGTTGTACATTATGGTGGACGCCATATACTCACTTCTGTGGTTAGCCTAACATTACAAAGGAATGGAGGAATTACTATGCACTACTTGGGTTAGGAGAAATTGCCCTGAAGAAAGGTGGGTAGTTCCGGGATAACTAGGTAGATGAAACTGAAAAGGGCTACCGGATGCAATGCACTATTATTAAGCTGAGGGCATCATAAAATACTTCAATCTCGTCGATACGTAAAGGATACAGAAAACGGTTTATCCGAATTATGTTATAAATAAATTATAAACATTGGCAGCAAGTAACAGAATTGACGTATTTTTCATTGTTCCGGTTTCTTGTGTCACAAAACTCCCAACCAATTTTTGATGACATATACTACTGATAATTATGCTACGTCGCAGTTCCTGAAAGTTACCCATTTTCGAATTCCCGAGAACTGTGACAAAGCATAAGATTGACTGTAAACTGTTCGAGGCATTCAATCATAAGAACTGAATCCATTCAAATCCTGACTGTTCACTTTACAGGAGTTCGCCGTTAAATTTGACCTGCGATCTACCTGGGTTGAACAGTTTTGAAATCATTCCATTCTGAGCATACTGTGATTGATCGGGTGTAAACAACCCGACCACGTCTCACGCGCCCTCAGCCAGTACTTATCACGATTCACGATGCTGACTTATATAATTAAATAATTACTAGGTTGTCACTGTGACTGTCGTAATCAATTGTGAAATGAACTTGTGGAAGGGAAAATTAAACATTTTGTCAACCACAAAGAAACCGATAGCACAAATCCGAGCTAGAACCTGATTGGATCAGCCCGGAAACGCTTGTGCACCCAACGAATAGCATGACTGTCGGAAAAAGAAAAAAAGAAAACTTATTGGCCAGACGTAATGTGGGTTATGATTGGTTCATAGAAAAGCGGAATGTGTTGAAACGAGAACTGTCAAGTGCAAGTGGGCGGTAGTGGCCCGGTGGTAGCGTCACCAATTTATCACCCCGGAGGACGTGTGTTCAAATCCCACCATCACTGCCTTACTTTCTCCATTGTGTGTTGTATGGCAGCCCTTTGATTGGTCGCTTCCCCCTTCTTGAAAGTTGTATCAGTGTATTTTCAATAAAAAGGAAGTAAAAGAGAAAAAGTAAAGAAAAGATGTGGGAATTCTATTTGCAGAGAGAATCAATTGAGAAAACATGTGTCCGTGATAAAGATGAGACAGAAAAAACCTGTTGGGAATCAAGAGCGATCGATGGAAAAATGATCTACCCTTTTGTGACCACACAAGATGGGCTTCTATATAAATTAACCCCGTCACAGATTTCGTATAACCGCACAGGATTTAATTCGGTACTGGATTCTCAAAACAATCGTATTCTGGCAAGGTTTCTCATCCAGAGAGGAACTCCACTATAGCGCAACTGGAAGCTTGTAGGAATTGATTCATTAAAAACATTCATGCTTATTTATAGGCAAGAGTGTAGACAGGGGAATGCGTATATCAAACGATTGGTTGGCTGGATTCCTCTCAATTGTCTTGGCGGCCCCATTCAATAATCTGAGTTCACAGTTAACTCACAATTGCTCGTGAGTGGTGTTGTGGGATGATTGTTATTGAATAGTTGATTAGAAATGAACATCTTTCAGACTTCGCCTTCATGCAAATTCCTCAGCTCTTCCACTACTTGCACTACTGATGAGCTCTAATAAGAGCGAAAGTGGAGTCTAGTGCTTCCGAGTGTATAGTTGACTGGAAGGGCTGGGGAATATGCGCGAAGTTGAAGTCCAAAGGATGGTCAGTTCTTATCAGTTATTCAGTAATCCGAGTGCACTTGCTGGTACTGTTGTGAATGGCTATCCCAGAATAAAGCAGTTTTCAGGGAGCACATTGACTCCCTGACAGACCATTTCCCTATCACACACTAATCTTTCGCATCCCGTCGATCAGCCTGATTCAGTCGCCACATGAGCATACCCCACCAACTGGTATGAAACGCTTGAGCAGAATGCTACAATTATGCTTAATGAAATTTTATTGCGGGCTTTTATCAGTACAAGTATTGATAGAAAGCAGAAGTGAGATACATTTGGGGCCTCATAAAAACAATCATACAATTTTGTTCGTAGATCGGAATGAAATCAAAAGTTAACCTGATAAGCGTGATCTGATTGCACTCGCTGGGCGCCATTTGTGAGCTGTACTCCGGTTGGACGTACTAGGACGGGCTCAGTCCAGATACGAATAGACAGAATTATCCTGATAAACGGTTATATTGTGACAACGACCTTGGTTAGCTAGAAAAAGCAGAGTAAGGTGTGAGATAGAGAGGAACAGGTGTGTGAAATGCCCTTGGTACGTTGATTAGTTGGATCAATAAATAATTCTTTTGAACAAATAAAACAGCATATGAATAAAGGAACAGACAGACATTCAGACAGACAAACTGACTGACTGACTGACTGACTGACTGACTGACTGACTGACTGACTGACTGACTGACTGACTGACTAATGAGCGTTCCATATCATGATAACCCTTTCTCTCATGGATTAGTGATATCCACATTTTCAGGTTAACATGATTCCGAGGTAACTTGATGCATAACAGTTGACAGTCACAAATATTTCATATGAACCAAATATTAATGAATATTGGCACTACACAATTTTGAAAGAAAACGTTAAATTTATTCACACAGTTCTACCTCAAAAACGAATGTTGTCTGTCAACGGGATGTACAGCAAGCACCGCAAAATATTCAGTGAACACATCCGGTTTCGTGAATAACTTCCTATCAAACGAACTCGTCCACACTTACAGAGAAAATTGAATCTATTTATAAAGAAATTTTTAGAAAATCAGATAACGTAAGGGAGAGTGACAGTATTTTGAATATTGGGTTTTGTCCTGTGCACATCAGAGAAAGGTGAAATTAAAGCCGAATACCGTCCTTTCACCCTTGTTTGGCCTCATCAGGAAGCGAGAAATCCGGAAACTCGTTGGCAGAACGCAAAAAATGTCCTATATATGTCCTATTGAGCATCGGATATCAGACTGATCAGACTGTTTGACGCATTTCACACGGGAAATAGCACAACCCCGGGTGAGTAACGACATTGCTGTTCGTATTCAAGTGATAATCTTAGCCAAGAATGAAACCGTGGTACAATGCTAGATAGCTTTTTAGTTTTTGATATAGGATTGAAAAACGTTATGTCCTCTTTTCTGCAGTTAAAATGAAACAACCTGACTAGCTACCCACCCGAAGTCGCTCAAACGATATGCTTTTGCAATGAATACTCTGTTGGTTTCACATTACGGATATGTCTGTACTTCTATAGGCTGTAGTACGCACAAAAATAACAATGGCATTACGCAATCACCGTACCTGGTGGAGTAAATGCACACGTGAACGCGGGCACATCTTGTATGTCACTGGGAAGAAATGCCACTCTGAACTGATACAGTGTGCATGCCTGTGCGCCGTGAAATACGGCTTGGGTTTTGCTCGGGATATGCAGAAAACGCCAATCCGTTTTCGTGCTGTGCACGTGTGCCGAGCCCATCAGGTCGACTTGCAAAGCGTTCCATGTCACATAGGCGGTCTCGTTCTCGATGCGTGCTTTCGCATTGTAGAATGGTTGCATTGTATGGTCTGAAACGGTCCCAAACGGTCGGGAGGAGCAGCAACGGATCCAGGACATAGAAGTTGCAAATGTACAAGGAACTCAGGACTGTGCGGCAGTAAAAATTCACCAGACAAACCATTTTAGTCGGTCGACAGCAACTAACTTAATGTTATGAGGTCAGCCTTTGATTGTTTGAGGTTTGAACATCGCAATCCACAGTGTGTCACACGCTTGAGGATAATGAGCCTCTCCTGGACTTCCTTTGTTCAGATAACCTATGCCTGTCTTGCATTCATGGAATTGTCCTACCTTCAATAGATCGGTATGCGGGTGACTTGTATGAGTGGGTATGAATCGCATTTGGGGCTACTAAACTTTTTCCAATTTGAAAGGAGAAGAATATTGTTTTTTGGCTTGTCATCCTTCGGATTTTACCGACGCACACAATCCTCAATTCATTCAATCCAGCATAACCCGGCCAGATTCATACCTATATATGTCTGTCACTTGTTTGTAATGCGTTTCGGTTAGTCTATCCGGGATTTGAACTCCGCAACCCTATCACGGAAGACGCTTGATGTCACTGCAACATTCAGCTCACAATTTGTATTTTCTTCGTTAAGTTCACTCGGAAATCGGTGCCAGAGATTGCCAGTCACTTGTTTGGCCGATAGCTGCGAGTCCGATACAGTTATTCACTCGGCAACTCCCGTAAAAATGAACTCACATAAGGAAGATATTTTATGCAAGAACTTTTAGATATTTCAAGTTAAACTGCAAGACTTGATTTTACTTTCTGATTTGATTGACTACTATTTGTGAATAGTACTGTATGACAAGTGGCATTTACAGTGAGGGGACAATTTTACTTGTGTTTTTGAATCCGAAGATATATGTTCTGTTGGTACTGTACACTGGTAGTTTAATATCTTACTGATTCAATGAAAATCTGATTCACAGACGCAGAGATTCAGTACTGTAATAGGTATACAAAGAATTCCTCGTTAGGTAAATGGCCGCGTTATTTCACACAATTATAACATACTATCACCATCTGTCGTAGACAATTTGTAAGCAAAAATTTTTGCTCTTCTCAAGAAACTGATAAATTGCGCTGTCGGGTGTGAGATGCATTTTTTGCACGTTTATGACTTGCTAAGCGTGAAATGTGAGCTAAGATATGACCTGTGTGAACTGGGAATCAGAGCAGTTGGTAGATAAGTGTACGACAGTAATAGTACAAGATTAGGGAGTGTGACAATGCGTTTTTGGCAACGATACCGCACCGAAATCACATTAGGGTTAAACTTCCTTGTCATACAGAGAAGAATGTACCATGTTGTGATGATTACTACCTCGTAGATAGCCCACAGCCACCGGACTTGATTACAGTCGACTGTGTTAGGCCTGCTCTGAAATCGCCTGCAATTTGTTTGTATCCATAAATATGGGATTCTTTGGGTTGATTATATATTGACATCATAGACTACATCGTTGAATAAGCAAATAATCTATAGAAGCACTCTGACACTTGTTCAACGTAACAACGATTTGTTCTCCAGGCAAACTGGTAGAAAACATGCGAGGCCTTGGTAAAAGCAGGGAATTGTAAGTCCTCTTGAAGGTTGAACTGTTGATAGTTTAACCCAGTCATAACTCGTTCATCTTGATTGTGTCCTTCAGGGCGAGTATGAATTTGCAAACAAATCAATCATTCTTCGGAAAGGCAGGAAAAGCGCAGGCCGCTGTTTCCCTACAATCGATAACAATTACGTTTGTTCTTCGATTTATCATAGTATTAATTGAATGTTTTTGGAAATCCAGTAACTATTTCTCAGGAGATCATTTCTGTGCTTCTATTCCGTTTGTGTTGTATCCCGATTGAGTAGATAACTACTGAGCGAATCGTACAGCGATTATTTGCATCAGGCACACATGTAGCCGGTCAGCAGCAAAACAGTCAGACAGGCACGGATGCATCCAGGCAGGCCAACAATGGGCTCATGGGTCTCACAACAACCGACCACCATCAAGCTGGGCTGTCAAACAGTCAACGAGTCAGTCAGCGTGGAAAGTCCAATACTCACACCTGATTGGCTGGAGTCGATTAATATTGTAATGAAGTTAGTCCGCAAGACGTGAGTACAGGTATGGGTGCGGGTTGGGCAGCATCGACCAATCAATCAAACAGTTCATCGCTATGAACGAAAATCGTTGCAGCTCATTTAAGATCACAACGCTTCGTCCTATCGTTTTTGTCTGCGCTAGAGAAGCTGGTTCTGAATAAACGCATAGATTTTGGATGAACAACTGCCGTGTTAATTTAGAAAACTGTGGATTCACTTACTGATTCCTCGTTACTATTGTGATACTAATCACGCAGAAGTTATCACATCCGGTTACTCTTGTCCTAAACAGAAAGGGCGACTTAATTCTTTGCTACTCAATACCATTTGGAATAACCAACAAGTGAATTCAATTGACATACACTTTTGAGTGACAAAGTGAAGCGGAGTTGTCCAGTCTCCCGTCATATCATTCCACAATGCACGAGCAATTAAAGAATAGTTCGATTCAGGTTTCAAATTCATCAGCAAATGTGGACCAAGTGAACTGAATGAGTACAGCACTGCTTCCGATGACACTTCCTGAATTTTCACGTGATAGCGTAACTTGCAGAAATTGGGAATTTCCATAGGTCTGCTCCAATAGAGCACAGCATGTTGAACACTACGCAGGTTGTAAACTCTCACGTAACCTGGCTGAGGAACAGCTGAATGGGAAGCGAATGTGGATGGACGTGATGAATCCGGTGCATATACAATGTAAATAAATTGAACACAAAATTTAATGAATTTAATTTAACAGTTGAGAGGATAAATAGTTGTATTATATACAGGTCAATAAGTACCGCCAAAATAGTCACATTCTGATAAGACCCACTTTGAAATCGCGGATAGGATTGGCAGTTAAGCATGGTATGTCACGTGACATGTGATATTACCATAAATTTTTGTGTAGCTTGCACCCGGTTTAGATTATGTAGTTCCTCTCCGACCGGTGCATGGGTGCATGGATCTTTGCTCTGATTACAACATACACAATAATGAGAATGTCTAGGGACATTTGGGCGGTCCCAGTTAGCACAGTTAAACATTACGGAACGGGGTTGATAGTCATGCAACTGCACACTGCTCCCCTTAGGTTCAAGGTCTGTCGTCACAATGGTCTATTTTTTGATCGGAAGTTGTAGTCGGTGCACATAACAAGCACACTGCATGCACGCCAATTAGTTGACAAAATGGACTGCAATGTCATGTGTTGCTAATTAGATGGTCCTTCTTGATTAGGATGGATAGTTATTAGACACAATTTGTTCGAATGGTTGTGGAAGGCTATCAGATGTTTTGGATGTAACGGAACCGCTTTGGTTGAATAACACATGAAATATAAATTTGAAACTCAGTGGACATACTTGGATTGGTTTGACTGAGATATCGTGCTTTATCATTGGTAGTGTTGTGAGATACTACTCACACCAGTGAGTAGTTCGCAAAAAGATGCGATTGGCGGTTTATTTCAACGGTCAAAAATTAACAATACCACTAAGAGCGAATGCTCCAAAAATAACTACGGAGTGTCCCATTTATTATCCTGTGTGTTGCCAAGAATTTAGATAGAATGTTACAAACGAAATGTCTTGTTAAGTGTATGCCAAATTATCGATATCCTATCTGCAATAAACAACCTTCCTCGACCGCCTTGCATAATTATAGCAGCAGTACATCAAGTGTATCATATACTGCCACAGCTTTCAGCTCAAAAAAACATCTTAAATATTGTGAAACTTTTTATTGACATACTAATGGCTATAGATCATTTTACTTATCATGTAAAATATATTTATGCAAAAATATCGTAGTAAATGATTGAAAACTTACCCCACGAGGAATAAATAAAAATGGCATTCATGAGTTGGCTTGAATAGAGAATATAATTGTTCAAAATATTTAGAGCGAGAGTTGTCTAAGTAGCATTACATGAACTCTCATTATCTATCTTACTTCGCCAGACCACATGAGACCCACTTCTCATGATCACAAAATCAGATAGTTCTGCAGCAGAAGAGGCTAAATAACAAGCCATTATGCGGAAGAGATCTGTTTTTCCGCTTGCCGACAACCTTTGGGACCGGGGTATCATGTTTCTTTTCGTTCTGATTTGACTTTTGCTCCCAAAGATTGAAAGCATCCCCTAAGATCGCTTGGCGTTTTCCCACTTGTGTAGCTTTTCATATACTCCTCTTGGTGACAATTTCTCTTGACCCATCCTCAACAATGTGTTTGTATTTCTTCAAAGTTTGGTTTGGATCGGCCTGCAACATCAATTTTTTTTCGCCCGCCACATAGTAGCGGCAGCACAGTCGGTGTGATCACTTTTATAATTTAATCACTTGCATTTTACGTGAGTGTGGTGTCCTGATGGGTTTTGTGTATACAGGACGCAGAGCAAACGGAGCAGGGATTGAGAGGCTACAAAGCACCCTGTCCAACTGCTTCCACTTGGTTCGGTTTTATCAGCGGAAGCATTTACCCATGAAATCCGACATTGCCATGAAAACTATTCAAATACGGAAAGAGTACCGTCAACCTACTTTCAGGTAACGGTCTGGTGCAATCGAATCCAATCTCGAACGGCTTGCTGTTGCTTGGGTACATTTCAAGTGAGACACAGTGCAGTTTGCACGGTGTCAGTTCTAGCAAGCGTATTGATCCCGTTTGTGGATCCGGCTGGCGCACCAAACGCCAGTTACCTTCGATCAATATCATGCGCAGTGATGTGCCATTACTCCACACTGTCTGATTCACATTCCAAAATACCTCGATTCCCCGGGTTATTGCTTCGAGGCGAAACCTAGTTAGTTGGTATGCTGTGAGGGAAGAAATAAATACAATCATATGAGACGACATGTCAACAGTGACTACTTTTCATATTTCCCACTTCCACCGACGCGTCGTCCTTCAACATTCGCAAACGCTAGGTATGTAACATCAATATGCGCATATAATCGCGGA